TATATAGTAAAATATATGAATGCAATATCACTAGCACATCGTTCGATCGCTAATACATTTTCGTATTGACAATATATAGATTTACGATCGTTTTAAATAATAAAATTTCGCGCGCCGATTCTTTTATTTTTTTTTCTTTCTTCATTCACAAGTCGCGTATGATAAAAACATGTGTAACGTATACACACACTTAGAGTGGCATTTTTCCCCATGTTTTTTTTTTGTTTTTGTATATTATACCACTCGTGTAATTTCCTCCTTTTCAAAATCTTGCAATATTAATACAAAATACCTATGCCGCCATCGACAATTTATGCATTTATATATACAAGTACAGCTCTCCCAGAATCCAACAATCTGGCTTCTCATCATATCTCTATTTACTAAGAAGATACTATTGTTTTATGAATAAAAAAATACTAATATATCGCATTGTCGTTGCACGGGCAGTGTTTGCATAGTGTTCCATCCATCGATAAGGCACCAACTCTATTGGGATCCTGAGATTCAACCCGCATGCTTCGACAGATTCAGAGGCATATCTGCAGATGAGAAATAACTCGTGAATGCATCTTATCCTATTATCCTATTCGATTTTTAATAATATTCTAATATGAGAAAAAAAAAACATACCTGAAGGAGGTGTGAGAGTTTGTTCCCTGTAGTCTTTATAATGTGGGGATGATGGATGAGGATGTGGCGGTGCATACAATTGCATAGGAGGCGGATAGTGGACGGGAGACGGATAATGGGGTGCCATCCATAGAGGCGCCGTTCTATATGGTCCAGGAGGCAACATCGGTAATCCATAGAGCGGATGATGAACGGATGTATTGCTAGACCCAATATAGGGATCGATTCGTACCCTCGGATAAGTGTTGGTCGATGAGTATTTTACAGGCTGCCGATCATCTGGCTTCAGCAATGTTCTCAAAAAGCCTGGCTCGGGACTCGGCTTGTCCTCCCCCAGGATACTCGTTATACTATACGATGACAGTTGTTTCGCAGAGGGAGTCGGCGGCGCACTGGTCGTGCAAACCGGTTGCGGAGTGGCTCGTCTCTTGGACGCCTGATCCTCCAGCGAGACTCTTTCCAGCTCTCGAAGTATACGTTTGCGAGGCGATACAACATTAGGATCCAGCAGACGTGACAGTTTATCGATGATTAGACCCAGAACCTTGCCCGACGATGACGTGCCGTTTATCAATTTCCGAGATATCTTCGTCGGATAAACTACCGTTGATTCCGGAACGAGAATTGCGGTTGAAGGATCTAACGGACATCTGCGTTTCTTCGCTATTAAACGAGGATGAGCGCATAGGCGAGTCTTCGGATTTCGGCGATAGTAAAAATTAAATTCCGTGGTTATCCTGCGTCGGGGATGAGTCTGTTTCCAGCAGTGATCTCTCTGCCAAGGACTGGACTGGATCGACGAATTATCATCGGAAACTAAAAACGGATATAATATACAGAAGTTACAAGTTATCTAGATTAATTACGCCACTGATTTTTTTTTATATAATAGTGAAAATTAAGATATGAGAACCTTATTATGAAAAACAATAATTATAACAAAATCTCTTTCCTTTTTCAGCTTTTGAAAAGATATAATAAATATACAAAGAAAATGTGACATACATATAAAAAAGAATTTATATATGACAAGTATTATCGTTTCCTTCAAGACTCACCACTAAGGGAAGTAGAGCTCTCCTGCCGATTTGGAATAGTGCTAGTGGGTGGCCAAAAAGTTTTCTTTGGCACAGGAAACCATGTAGTCTTCTCTCCATCCCTGCGATGAGATAGTTCCAAGATAAATTTCCCATCTTTAAAGAATTTCAAGCGGCCTCCCGGAGTCGGCGGAAGATTATTATCAATACGTGCTTCCGTATGATGAGCTGGCTGGGGACTTGAATTTTTACCATTTGCCTTGGCAAGGGTTGGGTGCAATGTAGACGGATCACGCGAGCACATCTCTGTCGTGCCCCTCACGTGAGCTGCGTGAGCATGACATTCTGCTGACTTTTCACGCATGCTGATACTTTATCGGTATCCATTTTCCTCCACTGGGCTTCTCATACTTTAACTTTTCAACTCTGTTCGATACGATAAGATAACAAGACTTGCACAGGTCTCCTGTTGTCCTTTGCTTAAAAGATTAAACCCATGTGCTTTAGAATAATGCAGCACTCGGATTCGATAAGAAACATTCTTACATTCCAAACTTTCGTTTCCTCTCTTCCGACACGAAAAAGAGTTTTGTAATTTACAAAGTCCGAGGCACACGTATCATTGACAAGTGATTGATATTTATGTCATTTAGGCAAGACATCAGAAATAAATACAGGACATAGTTATATGGACTCGTAGTAACGTATGATGGCTGACAAACACACAATTTGGTTCAACTATAAACCGTGCTTATATTTATTCGCTGGCAAAGCTTTGAAGAAGCTTGCGACAATTCTCCTAGTGTCGTCCCGCTGCTGGTTCGATCACGGTGTCATCATCGGAGTCGCATGAGTGTAGCAGAGCGCTCCAGACAGAGGGGCGACGTGTTATTTTTT